TCCATTACCTCGTGTTGCCTGTTACTGTCATTCTGAGTTTCTCCTTCTTTAGTCGTGGTCTTAATCTCAGTGTACTACTAGCTCAGAGGTGTTTTTATGGGACAAATATTTCTTCCTCTGTTTCTTAAATACCTTCTGAGCCTGCAGGATCGTTACATTTTCTGAAATCTTTTCACTTTTTCCTGTTAAAGTCCTTCTTTAATGTTTGCATTAAATTAGCTAAGAAAGTAATATATAATTACTTTTCCCAGCTTCAGATAATTCCTTTTCACAGCAACATTGATTATTGTTTATTTATGTGTAAGAGCCACTTACGAATCCGTGCTGTGTCGTGCTTTGAGACACCAAGTATACCCTTGGTTGTGGGTTTTTGCTTTGTTGTCTTTCGCTTTATGAACTGTAACCGATGCACACCCTGCCTAGGCAGATGACTACTTCCTCTGCTCTGTCGAAGCAACCTGGCTAAATCAGTACCAAAGCAATTCACTGCAGCAGTGTGGGGGGAATTTTTATACAGGTGTTGCCCATATGTGTTGGGTGTATGCCTGGAAATGGAAAGGGTGATGGTGAATTTTTTCATCTGTCAGTATATCATTTTTCACAAGGGGTGGAATTTTTTTGAAGGCTTAGGGGAAGGATGAATTTTGCTCAAGATTCTTTCATTTTATTATTGTAAGATTTATAGCATTGCCAAACCCCTTACTTGGACTGATCCCAGACCTGCCATCCTTCATCCATTTGGAGTGCAGAGCAGTCTTCCTCTATTTTTCCAGCTTTTACTCCAAAGGTAGAAAAAAGTCAGCATTTGAACTGGTCTTTTTGAAGGGATTAGTGTGTTCAGCCCTTTACTTCTGCATTAGAAAGTAAGGAATGTTTTAAGGAGACACTGAGATTTCCATAGTTCTATTCTACCTCCCATGATGGGGTTTTCAGTTTTAGAGCACTAACATATTTTTACTGGAATTTAACCAAATTGCTTCCTTCTCTGTCACAGTCGCTTTGTCTGTCTCTGTTCCCTGCCACTCTAGATCTCAAGCTATTACCTTTTGGCCTGGATCTCCCCCTATCCTAACACTGAAACGAAGGCCTGACTGAAGAAAACATCCCAGGAACAGTTTATTATTTTCTAGTTGACAGGGTTGCTGTTTTGGCGTTTCTTTATTTCAGCTCTTCTGAGGCCAAATGTCTTCCCAATCTCAGCAGTTCACTTTTTTCTTACTAGCCGAACGGCTTTGGTAAATGACCGTACGGGGAGCGATGCTGTCACGTGCACTGGCTCTCCAGCCACGTACTTCGGTACCTTGTGGAATTGACTGGTAAAATCTCTCCAAGACTGACCTTTTCCTGGAGCACAGTTCTTCCAGCATGCTTCATTCTGTAGGTCGAGTCACAGAATACCACGCTCTCTTTCTGGCATTATGGTTACTGTGTGCAAAAGCAATTTTTCCTAATTTACATGTGTCTTCCAGGATGTCCCTTCCCAGTAACGGACAGACAGCATCAATGTTGTCCGTTCTTGAATCAGGCTTCTACTCGGTGTATTTTGTTACTTAACTGGGCGTGTTTAGCGCTAGTTCTGAGGAGCTGGTATCACTGAACCACTTTTTCCATGTATAAGGAGAATAGACACAACTTTAGGACAATCTAATCGCAGCCACCTAAGGGAAGGTGTGATTTTTAACTTGTGGCAAGGTTTAAATGACTGTTGACAAAGTCCAGACAAATGATTCAGGTCATTGCAAAATGAGTCTCTGAGCTACGACGTTTCTAGGACAGCCCTACTCTCTCTTAGCGTACTCTGTAGCTTTAGGCACTGAACGCAGCTTACACAGCCGTTGGTTCATATCCTGCTTTTCTTCTGACTCAAAATCATGTGTGCCTTGCTTTCAGCTGGATTATTCTTTTGCACCTGTCTCCTGTAGACTGGCACAACGACAAACAGAGCCCTAAGAAGAACCGCAAAGCCTTCATGTTTCTCCTACCCCTCCGCCTGGTCTCCTCTTGCTCCCTCCTGCCCCTTTCCAAATTCCATTAATATTTACAGAACAAGAGCCAGTCTCAAATTCAGAATGAGGTTTTACTGGCTCTGTCTTCAGCTAATGTAAAAGACAACAGTGGTTAAAACTGCACCTAAATAAATAAATAAATAGGCTGTTTCACACTAGATAAATTGTGCTAGGTATAAATAGGGCTACAAAGACCAGAGCGTATGTAAGAAAATATTACACAGACTGGTTTTGGAAGGCAGAGGGCCGTTCAGTTATTTGTGCAATTATTAAATTAAAAACTCTTGAGCTTTAACTTACATGAAATCATTTTCACCGTTGTTTCTTTAAATTCTGTGTGGGGAGTAGGGAGTTCCTTTCTTACTGATTAATTTACAGGATAAGCAGTAAAATCAATAAGTCAAATGAAAATTTTTGCCAACATAGAAGAAAACCATGCTGATATTTACACTCCAGTAATGTATAAACTAAGCATTTGTAAGGAGGTATGTAAATACATTTTTACCTTCAGTCCATCAGTGAAGTTTTGCAAACATAGATTTTATAGGCAAACTGAGAAATTAGGAGGGGAGTGGAGAGAATGAAGGGTTCAGATAATTTGCATTGTTTTCTTTGACCCCAAACTAAGTATTTTCTTCCATTTCTGTTGTTCAGTCCTTAAGATGTGTTTTTAACCTTTGTAAATTGTTAAAAAGCCAAAATCAAAAGATAAATATTTCTGTTCTTCCAAATTGTTTTTGTTTTAATGTTATTTTATTCATTGGAAAATATTTGCTGACTTCCACTGTAGTCTGCACATCCACTTACCCCCCTGTGACCCCTTTCCATGAGCATTTCAAGACTTACTTTTCCCTGGCCATGGGAAGAACGGCTAGTGCCCATTTCCAGTTTGCATGGGGTTCTGGCTACTGATGACCTCAGTTAGTTGCCAACAGATGATTTCTTTTTTTCTTTTAACTGTGTGAAGTAATTGGATTGTGTCCATCTTGTTGTGAGGCCAAGGGTTATTTCGGAGCATTGAAACTGATCTACATTCTTTAAATGTAGGAGTTCCTCTGCACGTTCTGTGGAAGATGATTTGGCAGAGCAGAGGAGCTGGCTCTGCAGTATGTGTGTGCTGCTCTTCCTCTAAGGAACTGTGAGAACATATTTTAACAAAGGATTCCTCAGTCCATCAGATACCCCAAAATACGTAGTCACAGGAAAAAGGTGGTGGTTTGGGTTTTTTTTTTCATTCTATATGTATTTATTTATTCTTAAATTTCTGTCCTTTCAAGAGCATGCCAATACCCATCAGTCTGCCCTGTAGTCTGCAACTTTGATTTTTTTTTTTTTTTTTCCTAAGGGCTCTCTTATTTTCTTCTCTGCTCTGGCAGTAGAATTGGGTTATATCACTTTTCTGATGAACCTACACTTTCCAGATAAATGAAAACATAGGGGTTTATTTTTCAAAACTGAAACAGTTGGATTGCCTTTTTGTTTTACTGGGATAAGCATCCCTGATGCTCTGGGGAATGGAGAATGATCTAAAATAAGCATAGCTGTTTTCTGTTGTTTATCTGTTTCTTTTTGCATCTGTCTTAGTATTTATTGCTACCATCTGCATTCCATTTCAGGTTGTCTAATGTCTTATTCTGCATGTTCTGTGCCTCTTCTCTTTACATAGCCTTGGGCTGTAATATCACCATTTGCCTACAAGAGATCCATTTCTATCTGTAGCAAAATGAATTGCATTCATCTGTGTAATTCATTTCTAATGAATGCCTTGCTCCTCATTAAACAGTGATTTACCTTTGTTTCCCTGTTCTACACTGTCAACACTAACCATTTCGAGGTCCTGTGGAGAGATGCTAATTCGAGAAAGCAAAAGTCAATGCAACTAAGCACTCACAAATGCCATCCTCATTGGCACTTTCAAAAATATTCATGGGACACTTTGAAATGCAGTTTGCAGGTGGATAAGAAAACTCAAGATGTTTTCTTATGAATAAGCTTTCGGTGTAGAAAGACAACACTTCAGAGTTTAAATGCATTTCTTCTTGTCAATGTCTCAAGATTCTGAGTCTTTTAAGACCTTGTCTCCTCCGCAAGTATTTTATGGATCACAAACATTTGGGGAGACAATACTCTTGATTCCTTATCCCCTCTGCACTTTTTCAGGAATACTAAAATATTTCTAACTTATTTTCAGAATAACATTTTGAAATACTTCATTTTGGGATATGTTAGAATGCTTCAGACATGAAAGTATTTTACTTCAGTTTTGTAATGTAATTCAAAGACTAATATAACCGTTTATTGGCTTTGTGTATCTACAGGAAAAGGATAGTCCCTTGAACTGATGAAATAGGGGTTACAGATTTGGTCATATGCAACTTCTCTGTATTGCCCTTTCAGCTTATCCCACAGCATCTCCTTTTCCAGCCCTGCGCTTTGCACAACAGCATCATCTGACGTGTGTGCAAATAGATCTGTGCTGCTGATGGGTGGTGGTTAGAGTGTAGGATGTATTACCAAGTTTATTGTCACTTTAAACCTAAGCTGGGTCTGAACTGCAGTAACAGATTATGAATATGAAAATACTGTTTAGGTATTACAACATAACTTAAAGCAATACGGATGGATTTTACAAAGTTACTTTATTTACAGCATCTTTTAACTCTTACTATAGTAATAGTACAAGCTACAAGTGATAGTACAAGCTATCATTGACCCTTTTGATCACTCGCATGAGTTTAGCTTGGCATCTTGTAATATTTATTCTTGTGTTTGGCCAGGTTGATCCCCTGTTGAAACTCTAGAACTGTCAGTGGACATCAGTTGAGTTACACCATGGATCAATTTGATCATAGTATTAAGAGGGAATTGAAGCATGGGAGTTTGTTTTGTTTGTTTGTTTGTTTTTTTTAAACTGGTCTTGCCTAAGTCGTGTAGTATGTGGAAATAAGAACACTTGTTAATGTAACAAAATCTTATTTTTAATATACATTTTAGAGGACAAAACTGACCTTGAGAACAGTGTGATGCAGAAGAAAATTAAAATCCCCAAACTCTCTCTCAATCACATAGAAGAAGCTGGGGAGGTTACAGATTATGGGGAAGAAGATGTGGAGCTTAGACACAGTAAGGTACTGAAGTATTTCCTTTTTTTTTTTCTTTTTTTTCTTTTCCTTTATTTTTTTATTTTGGGAGTGCTTGGGGCATATACAGATGTCATAGCTTAAGAATTTCAGGCTGCTTTTGATCCCCTTAAAATATTGTGTTTGGAGAAATCGGGTCAGATTGTGTGTGGGGGGGTGGGGTACGGGTTTCAAAACCTGATTTATGTGCCACTGAACATTTTCCTGTTTATACTGTCTGCACAGTTTAATTGCCATTTGAGATTTTTGGAACAATGCTCTTCCACTTTGGGTCAGAATGATTTAAAAGTCCCCAGTTACATGGATGTCGAGCAGCTGTTCTTGGTGGCACTTGTGACCTATTGCACGCTGCTTGTTTGGAATTGGAAGGGGTGCTCTGAGAATTCCTAACTACAGCAGCGGGTGAGCAGACAAATGGACAGGACTGCATCCCTCCGTTATCACTGCCAGTTGCCTTTTTAGGTCCAGATGCCAGAAACCCACTATGTAAATGTATTTATTTCTTGATATCAGATGATTTCTTTAAAAGTCTGCCAACCTTCAGAATAAAATACTGCTCTGTGGCTTCATGTGTTTTGCAGCTGCAGGAATGGTACTAGTACATTTCTTTATGGTGGGACAGCATGTATTTTATTTTTATTTAGAGTGGAGCAGGCGTAACATCAAATAATCTAATTTTCTGCCACATTACTCATGGGTATTGTGGTATGGGAATTGATAGTGTCAGCTTCTTGTCTCTAACCTATGAGCGACATTTGCTTTCCTTGCATTTGCTTGGAAGTTCAAATGCCTTTTCTGTATTTGGCCAATAAAACTTAGTGACTTTTACCTATGCTGTCACATTTTAAGACCGCAATCCAGGCCCTAGAAAAGAGGTGTGCTTGAACTTGTAGGCTTTGTGCAGATGACTGAAGGTAAATTGCTGCTGAGAGTTCAAAGGAGATGAAGCCTCTGCAATGCAGTACTAATACAGAAGGAATCGGTTGATCAGGAAGAGGAGACTTGATGACACATTCTGTTTCCAACTTCTGCCCTTTCAGTGTTTGCTGGTAGTGTTAACTCAGGCACTTGGATTCAGCAGTTGGGTGAAGGTGCTGGAAGAATAGTCAGAGAAGGGTTTGTCTCCCAAAGCGTGGGAAGGACAAGCCCTCTGTTCACAAAACACCTTGTATGGTATGCTGCTTTTATCTCAGACGTCCTTACAGCTGACAAATGCTGCACATAGTTGATTCTTTCTCTTACTTACCAGAAAATCAATTGCTGTTGGAAATCTAAATGTTAAGGGTAAACTTTAAAAGCAAAGACATCCAGATGCAATTTTTTAAAAAAGAAAGTAATTATCTTTCTATATGGAATTAAGTGACCTATATACACTCAGCTTGCAAGTGCTGCACAAATGCAGAAAGAAAGGTCGTTAGCTGCCTCAGAAGTTTGTACGTGCCTTTAGCTGAATTATGTGTGCATGCTAGATGTTAGATCCACACAAATCTGTTAGGCAAAACATTTTTGCAGGCAGACTTTGTCCTGCTTTTTTTGGAAAACACGACTATTAATGGTTCCCAAGCCTGTAGAATTTTAATGTGTATTACCCCTTACTGGTCTCCTAATTTTTTTTTTTCTTTTTTTGTTTTTATTTGTAACATGCAGAGACAAGATGGCAGGAAACAAAGTGAAGGTACACACAAAAGCATTGAAGCAGTTGTTGCTCGGCTTGAAAAACAGAATGGGATGAGTCTCAGTAATACTTCCAGCCCTGAGGAGGCTTTTATGGAGACTTCAGAAAGTATGAACAACATGGACGATGCTGTAGTTCCTCGGATTCTGTATGAAGAATTGCTGAGGAGTTACCAACAGCAACAAGAAGAAATGAGACACATTCAACAGGAGCTTGAGAGGACGCGGAGACAGCTTGTGCAGCAGGCAAAGAAGCTAAAGGAGTATGGGGCACTCATGTCAGAAATGAAAGAGCTCAGAGACTTGAACAGGAGACTCCAGGATGTACTGCTTCTAAGACTAGGTAGTGGTAAGTGCCGGACTTAAATGGGACTAGTTTTAATGAATTTTGCAAGTGTGATCAATAGTAATGGAAACTTACTTGAAGAATAGCAGTGGTTGCTAAACTGGACATTGAATGTTAAAAGGGTTTTCTGCTATGACTGTACAATATGTGTCGGATTTGTATGCTATGTACGTCTGGGTTTTTCGTTAATGATAGTAGAGGTCTTTGTGCTGGTATGGTTGAATCAGAGTTCCATTTTAAGCAGCTGTATTTTAAAGAGCCTCTGACCTTCCAGTATATACTGAAAAAGATAATAAAGTGTCATCTGCAAAAATATACCAGTATGTTCCAGTTTAAAAAGAAAAAAAAAGAAGAAAGAAAGAAAAGGCAGTGGTATGAATATTTGGGCTAAAATTATTTTATTCTTTTCAGTTAGGAATTTTGTTTATTGTTATGTAAGTGACTGTGTTACCTTCAGTTTTCTGCCCCCTCTTCCCATTAATAGCTTGTTAGAATGTGATACATTCCTGCACTACTGAGCAGTGGCTTTAAACAGCCATGCTATTTGAAAAATACTGATTTGTTAGAGAATAATTTAAAAAAACTTTATATTAGTGTCCCGTTTATCAACACATGTTACTAAATGCAGGTTTATGTAATTTGGATTTAAATCTTAAGTATCTTGAGTCAATTGCTCATTTGTTTTTGTTTATAACAATTATTTAACCATAATGTTGGAATAAATGGGGAGAAAAAAGACCAAATAAAAAGTTCATCATTTTCTTTGAAGACGGTACCCTTGGAATACCTTCAAATATTTTACTAATTTATATTTATTTACTATTAGAATGTGGTACTGCTGTGTTGAAGATTTGCTGGGTGACTGAAACTTGGTTAAAATTTGTGCATCCAAACTTAGCATGCTGTTTCTTATGTCTGCCTTTGTGTATCTGGAAACTTATTTTTTGCATGTAAATTGGTTATTGACTCTTCTACTTGACTTGGAAGGAGTGCATGCAGTTTGCATGTGAGTCTGAGTTACATTCCTGTACAAACTTGTTCCTGGGAGAGCATGTGCCTGTGCTGTAGCATGTGTCAAGGTGTGCCCGCAGGTTTGGAGCCAGGGCCTCGAAGTAGCATCTGACAATTCAAACTGGGTGTTTGTGAATGCTCATCACTGTTACACTGTGCATAATTAAAATGTCATTACTTATTATAAACATTCTACTTAATTTTTAAATAAAACTAAATAGGCAAGGTTTCTGCAGTCTCAGAAACATGATGTGGTTGGCAGTAGATTCCACTGAGCTTTCTAAAATTTTCCTTGGATGGAAAGATGTTTCTTCATCTGCAAGTAGTTAGCTGGAATTTATGTGAATGGAGCACCAGCCAGACGTTCACAGGCAATGGGGCTGAACAGCGTAAAATACCAATTTAGTTGGTAGACTTGACAGCAGTTTGAGTGGTGAGACCAGCAATGAGATAGAGACAGCTTCTGAATTCGGTCTTGTTTCTTTCGCTTTAGGAAAGGAGGAATGCATTTTTTTTCCTTGAGCTGAATCAGGAAAGCTTACAATAAACAGGGGAAAGAAACCAACCAACCAAAAGAAACAAACAAAACTCCCAAAATCTCTTGGCAAAAATGCTGAATTTTCTCTAAATACTGGGCTTGAACTTCCGTTGTATCAGTCTGGCATCTACTTTACAACTGAAAATAAATCTCAGTTACATTGAAGACAAGTTCTTTAAATTAAATCACATACCTGGACATATACAAATTAGAGGTAACTTACAAAAAAATCCCTTGTTATTACTTGTTTAGAATTTCTCATGGATGACAGAGGTAGAACTTGGTCCTGTGGGCTCTGTCCTTCACAGGCTCTGTCCTTCACCCAGAGTGTTACTGCCGACAACTCTTGCCTTTCCTTGTAGCCTCAATCACAGTAGAGAAACAACCAGATTCTAGAAAGATCAGTATAAAATTTATGGATGATTAGAAAGAGAGACATCTTCAGCAAATTGTAAATTGGGGAGTGTGATGACAGTATGAAAAAGTGCTACTTTTAATCAAGAAGCAGACTTCTTTTAGTCTTCCTTACTTTTCCAGCTTATAAATGAGGTATGTTTGGGTATGTGAATAATTTGTGAAAATTGTTCAGAAACTAGATTACGTCCTGAATTCATCTTCGGTTGTTGCAGCGATCTCTTAAACCTAGAGTTTCAAATTACATGTAATTTATGTTACGCCGCACTTCTAGCAGGCTGGACTTAATGCAAACTAATTGCATTGCTGTTTCACCTTAGAGACTTGCGATTTCTTTGCATGAGATGACAGCTGGTTTGTGCTGATGAATCGCAGCTGTGGGAAACGCGTGCCTGTTGCCATTTTAAACTTGCAGATCAAATATAGAACAGCCTCTTGAGCTAACATTCAGTCAAGTATTCAGTCTCCTAATTTCCCATCAATATGCAGATTTCAGTGAGAAGCTGGAAGTCGGGGTATTCTGCTTTAGACCCAGGTCTTCATCTTTGCTACAAAACTTGGGGGAAGAGTGAGGTTCTTAATCTTTCACAAGGTGTTCACTGAATTGCTCTTTGTTTTAAAAGAGCCTTGAAAGCAGATGTGGTAAATGACAGTAGTGACATCGGTACTGATCTGATCCCTGGGGATATAGTGAAGCTTCTTTATGATTTTGATATGCTGGTGCCCAGCAGATCCCTTCTGGGGAGGAGGCCAGCATTTGACCAGGGCTCTAGGGACCAAAGCAGGGAGGAATACCATGGGAGATGTTACAATATCCCTCTTGTGAGCTCCTGGAAGAATGTGTGCAGACACCACCACTTCTCCCTTGCTCACTTTGGGATGAGGAAGCCCTGCCATCGTAGGCCTTTGAGGTTTATCTTTGTGCTGCTGCACCTGAGAACACATTGATTTGCCCTCGCTTTATCAACAGAGAGTAAGGTGATTTAGAGAAGTAAATCACTGACTCTTCCTTGTAGGGCTAATTTTAAATAGTCCTTGGATTGCAAAAGATAAGAATTTCAATAACTTTTGAAAAAACAGTTGTCTCCAGGGTAGGATCTGTGCAGTTTACTATGATAGTACATGGGCAGGAGTAGTGAAGTTGTATCAGGGATAATAGTGGATGTAGTTTGGTCCCTGAGAAGTACCGCATTCTCATGCTGTATTGCTAAGAATTAGTGCTGCTCTGAAGTCAGAGGGTATATTCACCTTTATTCATTCACATTCATTCATCAGCTCACACACAACCCTCCAAGGAGTTATTTTTAATCTCAGTTTAATTTCAGTGATCCAGTTTACAGTGTCTTCGGACTGACACCAGGGTAGGGAGAAGGAAATGGTATTTTTGTCTTACCACATGTAAAGAATTACTACTATTCAGCTTTTCTAGATTTGTTTAGCTTTCTGATGTAAAAAAAAGCCCAAGGTTTCTATCAAGTATGAGTACAGGAAGTACCAGATACATGTATAATATTTCCCCTTCTCAGACTCCTGTTGTTTTTGTTCAAGTTCTGGTAGACCATGTGGAAAAACAGCTTGCTGCTTACAAATGTATATTGACCACTTTATGATTTGTTTATTTTGGCTTATTTACTAATTCCTGAGCAACATGTAGCCTAAGATTCGTTTCTGAGGAAAAGAGGTGATGAAGGGAAGCTTCCTACCTCTTCATCCTGCGTTTGATCTTGCTGGCTTCTCGGATATTACGGAAACTTTGTAGTCAGAAGGAGAGAGATCTTGCAATTTGTTTCGGTTTTGTATTCTGTCTGAAGAATTGTCTCTTTTTTTTTTTTTTTTTTGGTGATCTTTATTATGTAAGTACTATCATCGTTAAGCCTTTAGGTAGGGTCAGATATTTTTGTATGTCCCATTCCTCAACTTTAGCATAAGATACCGAGCACAAGATCTACAGAGAGAGGAGCCCATTGGAGTGTGGTACGTGGTACACAACTCCTGTTGTGGGCACACAACTCACATTAGCCATAAGGCAATAATGCAGGTTGCATTCACAACATGCTGGGTTGAAAATTGTGTCTGTAGTAGTTGGTAAAAGCAGCTGTGAAGACTGCCTTGTTAGAGGCAGATTTCTGTTTGGGAAGTAAAAATGAGCAGAACATAAGAAAGTGTTTTAAAGGCTTTCTGTTGGTGACTTCTAAGCAGTAAAATATTGCAGTAGAGGTTTTTCTGACCTGTTAGAGCTATGGTTGTCGTGGACTTCCATCAGCTGTTTGTCTTGGGGAATGCTGGAAACCAAATCCCAGCTGTGTCAATATATTACTATGAACAAAACAGTAAAAGGCTTCTTCAGTCTAAAAGACTGTTAGTAATGAAGTGTTTAAACTGAGATAAACGTTTCCTTCTGGGAAGGAGGTGGTTGTACTCAGGTGTCTTCCTCAACGTGACTTGCACAGTATAAGGAAGCTCAACATAGCACGGTGTTGAAGAATGTGTTCTTAAAGTAACAGCTAAAAGATCACGTCTTACGTTCGCACAGGCAGTTACGTCACTGCATCTACTTGTTCAGGTCTGCCCACACTGAGAAGTGTGCAGGCTTTGGGTGGTTTAATCAGGCCAGATTTGGCCTCCAGTCTGAATCGGTTTAGCAGTCTCAAGTTTACAAAGTTTAGTTTATCTTGGGCCTGCCATTATATATGGGTGATAGTGGAGGCGTTGTGAAGATGACTATGAATTTATAATGAAAATGGTATCTTTTTCTGATCTATTTGTGCCATACTTGCATTGGATATGGCTCTCTTAGTTGTTGCTGAGCGTCAAGTGGCTGTCAGCCGAGGACATTTAGCTACCTGTGTAGGTGTAGAATAAGCTATAGGGTAAATATCAAATGCTGACAGTGGAGGAAATGCTGATATCGCTGTATAGTAATCTCTAATTGACACTGCACAAAGGAGGAGGAATGAATGCATTGCTTATTCCAGGTACAGGAGCTACTTAAGATACATGATTCAAGACGTGAGCTCTGATGCCAGCTGGACTTGCAGAGTTAGATCAATTCAGGGCTTGGTCTGTGTGTACAAACACTGAGGAGGGATGTTGAACCGTGACGGTGACCCGATTATTGAATTGTCGTTTGTTGAAGATGTTAAGGTTGGGCTCCAGAGTGCTGCTGTGCTCTCAGCTCCAACCTGGTAAGATGTATTTCTTCCACGTGGGTGAGTTTATCCTTATACTTCTTGGAAGTGGTCGATTACCATGATGTCCAGGGTCCAAGCTGGCAACTTTGCGGTGTAAGTGAACCGCTGACCCCGCGTGGAACTTCAATGACTGCTGGAGCTTCTTGTGAGCCTAGAGACAGATGTCAAGAGATGGTGATAGGCTTCGGGCTGTATCCTGCTCCTAGACTTCTGGTGTAACTGCTGCAATGAATGGAATAATGAATTCCAGTTCACAAATTATTTTATTTTCTTCTTCTGCCTTTATAGGAACACTTTAAATTTGATCTGAAAAAAAGTTGATGACTGACAATAATTATCCTTCTTTGAAGCTTCAAGCATATGCTTAGTAGTATTCTGTTCTTTAATTTGTGCTTAATTTTTGTTGAATACATTAAAAATAAAAATCGGTGTGTTGGATCGATTGGACAATCAAAATTCTGATTTATGTGTGGGGTTTTATTTTGTAACCTTGAATATTCTTTCTATGCGTGATACTTCAGCACAAGTAGCCTAAGCCTGTTTCCTTTATAGCATTTCTGTAGATCCTCACTATTTTTAATATATACCTGTTATACCTAAAGAGATTTAATGTTTCTATTAAATTTATTCTTCTATATGGATGATTTATATAATTATCACAGTAAATAATGCAAGTTTCTGTGCAACTATGTAGTAATTTTCATATCTGAATAATTATTGTTGTTGCTTCTGGTTTATCATTTCACTGTTATTTAACATAGTTTGCATAGTGTACATTGCAGCAATCTAACCCCTCTCTGTAACAGACCATAGGCTTTAAAAATGCAATTAAACATTTAAATGAAATTTAAACATTTTAGTGTTTATAAAGCAGAGTTGCTTATCCTGCTTTTATTTGTTGACATTCAGAAGTAGGATTTTGGTTTAGACTGCGATTTCTGACTTTAAAATGAGCATGACTAATGTGTTATTCTTTGCTAACCATGGGTGATGAAGTGATTGATTTCATGTTCTCTGGGATAGCAGACAGCTCTTTTTTCTTAACTGTCTAGGACCTGCCATTGAGCTTGAAAAAGTAAAACCAGAATCAATTGAGCCTGAACCTGAGGTACAGAAGACCTTCAGTGAAGAAGCAAATACATCAACGTACTATCCTGCCCCTGTTCCAGTAATGGACAAGTATATTCTCGAGAATGGAAAGGTATTTAAAATTAAATATAGCATGAATAATTTCTAAATGTCCATCAGGCAATTTTCATGTGAAATTTTCATAATCTCAGGGGTTTTGTATGGTAGCAGCTTCTACAAACTTCCTCAGTTTTTATAAAAGCATGCTATTATGCTGAGAAAAATTATCAAATTACACAAATACGAACAGCATTAAAAACACCCTCAGTGATGAGAGCATTGAATGCTGTGTAACACAAGAAGTATAATTATTAAATACACATGCGCAAGCACATTGAGAGAGGCTTCAATTGGTGACATACATAAATTCCCTGAATTTAGACTGAAGTCAGTAACCCACATTATAAAGTTATATTAGTCTACTTAACAGAAACACTTCTTCCTAAAAGGTCTTCAACTTTTTTAGTGTGCTGTAGTCCTGTTGCAGAGAAGCCTTCATGGTTTGATTGGAGTCCAGTTTGTAATTATGAACCCCGAAATGAAAATAAGCTCCCTGGAATCCAATGGGAGCATTGCCACTGAACTGAGCTGATGTAGTGCTACTTTCCAGATGCTTTTATAAAGCTGGTGAAATACCATCTATGTACAGTTTGCCAGAACATGACATAGTTTTTTCAGACTTCAGCCTGTTAAACACATTGTCCGCTAATCTTCCAAGGTCTGCTTTTATAGCTGTTGCCATTAGTGTTAAATGAACATTATATTTCCTTCACAAAACTGTATGTCCTTCAGAATTGCCTATGCAGATCCTGTTTCTTAGGATAAGTATGCATTCGGTACCATAATCTGAGAACCTTTTAGGAGGAAACGTTCATTTCAGCTTTGACATACAGTGGAATTACTGATGGCATAGCATGAAATATTACATTTTCAGATTTGTATTACAAGATTGACTGCACAAGTGTCTGTCATTCTTGAAGATGAATTGGACATAATTGTTGAGGACAAAATGTGTGTGAAAAATAGTGTAATCTTGGCAGTTTGACAGGTATTGGTTCAGATAGCTTTTCTTGCTATCTTGCTAATACATTTAACGTATGTCATTTGCTTCTATATTTTGTGTGTGTTTGTGCAATGAAAACTTAGGATATATTACTGTGAGAGTTTCGTTTACTGCTTTTTTTTTCTGGAAAAGGTTTGTAGGATAGGGCATGTCCAGTATTTATATGCAACTTTTCCTGCACCTTCATTTCATCTGACAGCTTCTTGGCACTTCTGTTGCTGAAGTTTTCTCTGTCTTTACAGATATTAATATCTGTAGCTTTCTTTTTGTAATTTAATTCTTTTCTTTGTTTGCCTATTTACTGGGGCTTCAGCCAGCTCAGATGCCAGAAATGTGAACTAATACTGTATTTAGAGCGTTGAAGGGTGTTTTTTCTTCAGTTTTCCTTATTTATGCCCTTTTTTTCATTACTCCTTTATTGACATGCACCACTTGAGTAGTTGAAAGACTTTTAGAAATCTTGCCCTTTGTGACATCAGATTTGATCTTAGTAGGATTCTTTCAAAGCAGATAAATCTCTCCTGTCCGGAGGGAAAACAGTTAACTGAAAACGAACCTATGGCATTCATTTGAAGAAAAGGGGAGGGGAAGGGCAGGAAAAAAAAGTTAATATTCTGAGATACATTTTAGATATGTTGCCCATGTTAGTGCAGTAACGGTGGTGAGCATTGCTTTGAATTTGCTGTTTCCGTTGCATTGTGCTTGGAGGTTGGTCCTACAGTTGCTGAAGTTGGGGGTAAAGTTCCCATTGATTTCATCAAGCCAGGGGTCTGGACCATGGGGCAGATATTCTAGCAAGGAGGAGATGGCTTCTGAATCTGGAGTACAATAAGCTTCCTGTAGCTGTAGGAGTACTGGGAAACACTACCAAGCCTGTTTTACAGAGAGGTAAACTGAGACATGGACAGATTAAATTCCTTGCTCTAACAGTGCTAGAAATAGATAAAGGGAGACTGTCTGTGGCTGTCTGTCACGTAGCTGCTGTTACCATAGGTATTTCATGCCAGTGATAACTTTTTAATAAATGAAGCATGCTCAAAGAAGAGATGATCTGAAACATAAATATTAAAAATACTTGCTGTAACTTGTTGGTTTCTTTTAAATAACTTAAAGCTGATGAATAACGCAGTAGCTTCAGAGACTAGAGTCTTTAGCAATGACAAACCCTAACTTTCGGCAGAGGGGAATCAGTTTTGATCAAATACAGTCCCTACAACTAATGTAATACAGACATCTAATATTTGGCATGTCACAACATTTCTAATCTTAGTTGGTAACCTATACTCATTTTTACAGATAACTTTTCCAAGATCAAGAGAGAAATAACTGAATTATAACTGTAACATGATCATTGTCTGAGTGCAGGCTGCTCACTCTGATTGAAGTTGTCTTATAAAATATGTAGAGAGCACCAGAAGAGTATGATTTTTTTTTTTTAAAGCAATTATGAAGAGGCTTGACAACAGAGAAGGAAGGAAAAAAAGGGGTGTTCATGTTGTGTTTATTGCTAGTTCAATTTCTGTGCATTCCAAAATCTAAGTACCATGTGGACTTGTGAAAAGCTTCTTAAAATCCCTTTAGTGCTGAAAATTCTGCAGGAGAGGCAGCTTGCTTTATGGTTTTATACTTTGAGGAAGTTAGACTTTTCATTTGTTTTTTATAAGGTAGCTGGTAGCCAAACCATTCATATTTTTCTATTTAAGGTTTTAAACAACTAGTTGCTTTTGAAGGATGCTGTTGTAATAATAAAAAGGATCTTTGGGTTATAGCCTTCATTAATAATTAAAGCACGTTTCCATTTAAAGGAAAAATGGTATTTGGTTGAATACAGGCAGTAAAATTATGGGTATATAAAATTTTACAGTAGCTTTGTCCAATTTTCATTGCATTTAATAGGACTTATGTGATACTCTTCAGATCTGTATGGGTAGCAGCCACAGTTTATGTAATGCCACATGAAAACAGTAAAACCATGAAAAACTGAGAGCAAAACAGTTAAGGCAAACAGTCTCTTAATATAGTTTTGCCGTATAATTTTTTTAATGGTGAGGAGGCAGTAGGTTTGTATTAAAGCATTAGTGTTATAGAAAGAACCTCCAATTGATCAGATTTTACGAGACCCAGATTTTGGATATAACAATCCAATTGATACATATATTTGGTATTTTGTACTTTTGCAGAATTATCTGGAAGGAAGATCTATCTTCTTCCTTTCCAGTGCTGCAAACCCTTACCAGTAATGAGTATAGCTAGGTCACTCATTAGCTTGTCAGGGGTGATGAGCAAGTGTTGGTCCAACCCAGTGAAGTTCATCACCGTGTGAACAAAGCTCTCTGCGTGCAGAGGCAGTGCAGGTGTCATCGCTTCAGGAATTAGGACCCTATACATACACAGTGCAAAGTATTCTCTGTTGTTCCACACAGGGTCAGCGTTTGTGTCCAGCTGGGCTTACTGCTTGCACTCCTGTCAGACCTGTGCTGATCACTAGTGATTGCTCATTACTATTTTCCTTGCTGTTCCTTGACCTGAGTCCTGATAACCACGACTTCAGTTCAAACTTACATAGTGCCAGCCTAAGGATGGTACTTGGATACTCATCCTTCATTCGTCTTAAGCCTGGAGCAATGGGAATCTTGGACTAGAGATACGGTGTAGCTCTGTGGGAGTCAGCGCAGCATAGTCAATGCTGTGCAAGGCTAATAAGCACAACTAGACTCGAGCAGCTTCCTTCTGGAGACTGAAATGGCTTCACGCTGCATTTTCCAGTACCCATATTATCCTGCTTTGCTACTTCGATGAAATACCTCTACTCCCTGTTGTCTGGGTAATGGAAAGTGGATGACGTTTCAGCAATGGGTCATTACCTTACCACAAAGAAGTGTTCATGTGGATAGATTGATTGTAGGCAAACTCACGATAGAATTGGAAGTTTACGAAACTTCCAAACTATTGGCTTATATTTAAAACGTAGGTCTCAAAATCCCTTCTCCCCTTCCAGTTACTTTAAACAATCAGGTTGAATTGTGCTGACAGGTAGAGGATATGACTTAGGAAGTATTTCCCTCTCTACTGCCTCCAAATTATGCTTTTGGTAAAGTCTGTTTCAGCCAAAGGGAAGCTTTCACACTGAAGATGTTTTCATCCTACTCCTGAATTAGGCTGGTGCAACTGCTTGATTTATATGCTGTGCATACCTTTATAATACTGGATGTGTTTACTGTTTCCTCCTTCTCTCTTTATTCCTGAAAATAGTCTTTCAGGTGGTAGGTTATGTGGGGGCGAAAAAGTAGAGAGTAAAAATAACTGAGAACAAAAAGGAACTATATATTCTGGAAGAGGTTGACTTGAAATCCCTGACCCACAAAGTTGGAGAAGTTTCAGAATTAGGCAAAAGAATTAGGATTTGTTCAGCCCTAATTACTGTTATTATAGTACCTAATATTAATGTTCCTACAGCACTTGGATACTGTTGTGTGCTACATACCATAGATAAGTTGTTATTATTACTACCTTCTAGGTCCATCTTGGCAGTGGAATTTGGGTAGATGAGGAGAAATGGCACCAGCTGCAAGTAACACAAGGAGATTCAAAGTACACAAAAAATCTAGCGGTTATGATTTGGGGAACAGATGTTCTCAAGAACAGAAGTGTCACAGGAGTTGCAACCAAAAAAAAGAAAGATGCCGTTCCCAAGCCACCTCTCTCACCTCACAAATTAAGCATTGTCAGAGGTAGGTTATTTGAAAACTTTTGCTTCCTGCTTTGGAGTTTAACTATTAATCATTGAGTTGAAAGATGCCTCTTTTCAGCTCATGTAAAATTAACTGATTAAAAACTGTAATTCAGATTGCTATTGCATTGTGAAGTGCATACATATTGAGGAAAAGTAAAACACATTGCAATAGCTGTGCGCAGTGCAGGCCTTCACAGCTGCAGAGTTGTGCTTCAGTAAGATTCGAGATCATCACTTTGAACCACTTGCAGGACAGGGCTCTGAGCCTGGAGAACAACACCTTGTTCTGGAATTCATTTATAACGTAGTGGGTTTTTAAAATGCATATCTTCCTTTTAACAAGCCTGAGCGTAGCGTTACCTCATTCTTTCATCCAGGATGTAACCAGCTCTGGCATGAGGCACAGAAACCATTATAGCTGTGACTATAAAAATACACATACCTTCAAAGGCGAGAAAGAATGGTTTTACCCATTTAAGTGGATAAAATGGCAATAGTAAAAATTAGTTGTTGCACTTGAATTGGAATTTGAACAGGTAGTGTAAATCGCTGACCTGTCTGGCAGGAAAAATTGCTTGCAGTAACTGCAAGCCTGAGTCCATGTATGTAGTACTTAGAGAGAAGGCCTTCTCCTCTATTTAAAATGAATAGTGAATTTCAGTCCCTTTGTATCATTGTGCTTGTGTTTTGCATTCATTTCTGTCTCTCTTGGTATTTCAGGCTTCTTTTTAAAGTGAGAACTGAGTCGGTTCCTCATGGAATACATACTGAAATTAGATTTTCGGTTTTGTGTCTATACTAAATTGCAGTAGGGCTGAAAGAAATCTCCTTATTTATTTGAGGTTCATTATTCTGCATTTCCTTTTCTTAGTTGCTGTGTGCTCTTAACTATGACCTCTTTAAGAGCTGTTTTTATCTGCCCTGCAAGTACCATGCTTTGGAAATAAGAAATATGATTCCTCTTTGAGTGTGTGTGTGTGTCTCTCTTGTGTGGGGAAAAGTTGATCTTTGTACTGTCACCTTTTTTAGTTTCTAAGAAATTAGTAAAAGACATGTTTTGGCTTTTCTTCACTAGTCTGCTTTAAGAGTATATGTGGAAGTGCTAGCTGTTCCATACCGATTTTTCTAGTTCTGGCTGGGACCTTTTGGTACAACCCTAACACATGTAGCAAGGTAATGATGCACTGGCCACATAAGGAATCCGCTGTGGCTGTGGCTACCCTTGTCAGCCCCTAGCTGGAAAAAGGAATTGGTTACCCACATGCGCATGTACAGGCACGCAGAAAAAGGGATTATTGTTCACTGGCCCGTTGGCAATGAGCTTTCTGGTTTCGCTGCTGGAGGCTGTTGCCCCTCAGCACTGCTGGCAAGGTTGCTTACGTGAGAGTTTTCCTCTGCTATTTCAGTCAAGGCCAGTCTGTTGCTTGAGCCATTTAAATGGTAGCTTTCTTCTAACTCCCCTTGTTCAAACTGCAGTGCATGTAGGAGTATGCTCCAGCAGGTACATGGTGAGAGGCAGATGAGGCCCTTCCCTTTCTTCTCTTCCATACCTTTACATTCTCCAGCACTTCAGCTCTTCCCTGTTTCCTCTTTTTTTTCTGTGTTTTCTCTCATAGTTGTGCTTCCAGCTCCATCCCTCATTTGAATTATACTGTTCCATGCCCTTGTTGTCCATGTTCCTCTTCCCAGTATTTCTTTCACCTTGTCTTTGACTCCCTTTTGTTAGGCTCAAGGCTGTACAATCTGCTCTTGAACCAATTAAACTGCACGACCAATGGTTTAGGTGGTAGCAGACACAGTTCCTATACCAGCAGTACTGGGTAACACACAGCCACGATTCTCCACATTGTTGTGTCCTTTGCATTTGGGTCAGTGTTAGCAGGTCTTGCCCTGTCGTGCCTGTAGTGTTTCCTGGAAAGCTGGAAGTGATCAAAGAAGTTGTTACAACATTATGGAGAAGAAAACAAAAATTCTTTTGTTTTGAGTAGCGAGTGGACAATAGTGAAATGCGAGGAAGTTAAGAGTTTACTACATAACCGATGATTTGGATCGGGCATCACAGAGAGATAAAGCTCCTTGTTAGTCTTTGAGGTCCACCTGAATCTTTGGTTCAGTCAGAAATACAAAGGGGCATCTGGATGTCCCCTAAAGCCAAAAGCCAAAGAAGCAGCAGAACACCCAAATCACTCTTTGGACCCCCTAAGCCAGCATCCTTATGTGTCTTAATAAACAACTATTTCTGCAGCCCCTCTAGAAAGGGAAGAAATGGAAGAGGAAAACTCAGACGATCATGGATCTGTCTGGGTCACACTGACTTCAAGAATCACAGCTGGTGAATGAGTTCTGTCAAGTGATTCTTTGACATTGTGGCTAAACTAGTAACGTAGACTGTCTTTTACTGGAAATTCACTTTACTAGGTGTATCTGCTGCCACTTGGGACTGTTCCTGAGACTGCTGTACTACAAGCTTATGTCCTACAAACACAATGGGTATCTTCAGGTTCTCAGTGTTGTGCCTCTTCTTAGGTGTCACATTTCAAATCATAGTTTACTGATGATCAGCGTTTCAGCTGTCAGGCTGCAAGCTGATTAATTTTATTTACTTTATATTCAGTACATCTTGCAATATAAAATTCACATTGGTTTAGATGTTCTCATCATTCTGTGGACACAGGCTAACTTATTTAAAATAGACTTTTGAATGACAACATTAGCTCTTAATGTGTCTGATATCTCTGGCTTCTTAAAAATCCCTACTGCATAGTATGTAATAAAGAAATTATAAAAAGTATGATGCATAAGCACTGTTGTAAACCTTGTTAATGCAAAATAACCTTTTATAAAACTTCTGAGAGGTTTCAAAATGAACTACAAAGCATGCATAGTACTTAATTTTCATAACTTTTTAATATGACGCATTAGAAATGTTATAAACCATGTTAATTAAGCAATAATCTCTATGGCTTTCTGTATATGAAGCAATAAACGGCTACTGGAATAGATTGCTAGGCAAAGTAGAACAGAGTTTGTTTAATCAATCTGGGAAGTCTGCACAACAAACACTTCTGGTTATGAAAACAAAAAGCCAAAACCTGCCTCTCAAACCTCTGATTTCAGTAACCTCTGCAGGATTCTGGCACTGACTACTGACTGTGGAGCAGAATTGTCTCAATTTTCATGCCCATACTGCTTTTGTAGTTAATACTATTGCTTGCTTTTCGTATTCCAGTTAAGTTCACAAAGTGCATTGTGCAAACATGCAAGAAGATGGCTCTCGTCCTGAATAATGTACTAATAAAAGCAAAATACGCCTAGGGGCAGGGTGTCTGATAAAGATGCAGACATTAATATATGTTGTACAGATTTAAAAAATAAAATAAATCTGTTAACGTCTTCTGGTTACTGCTGGTTACTGCTTCTCTTCCTAACCATTATAATTTACTTACTATCTTGAAGGCGTGAAGGTAGGAGTGACTCACAGGGAACTGGAGATATCGACAGTTCTAGTGAGACCATTCACCTGGGAGAAGGTTCTAAATCTGCTGGGGGAATATGGACAAATACAAGAGTTAGGCAGGCAAGACTGACACTGTAAAAGGTTGGATTCAGCCTTGCTTCTGTATAGAAAGCCTGTTAATGTGCTCATGACATAACTGGAACTTGGTCATGCCAAAGATTCAAGCCTGCTGAAAAATCTTGTCTTTAACAAGATAGCTAGTGAATCAATGAAAGCTGCTGTTGTCTTGCAACAAATAGACCAGTGCTTGCTCAGTGCTGTCTCGTGGGTTGTTAGCCCAACACAGGGCTATTTTCTTTTATAAAAATATCCTAATGGCTCTTTCCTTTTTTTTTTCTCTACAGAATGTTTGTATGATAGAATAGCACAAGAAACTGTGGATGAAACTGAAATTGCACAGAGACTCTCCAAAGTCAACAAGTACATCTGTGAAAAAATCATGGATATCAATAAATCATGTAAAAATGAAGAAAGGAGGGAAAGTGCAAAGTACAATTTGCAATAAATTTTGGATTTTTAATAAAGTCTTAGTGTTTTACTTAAGTGTTGGGTTTTGATTTGTGTGGCATCTTTTGCTGATGGGAGAAGCTGACTTCAAGCATTACTCTCCTTCTAGAACTGATTAATTTTTTGAGCGGTGCTGTCAAAAGCCTTTCTATGGTGTAATTTGCTTTTAAATAATGTAAGATATATTGTAAGTCCGCTCACAATGAAGCAATGACTTTTCAAAGGTGTTTCCAATGAGTTGCAGTATGTTATCTGCAGTTGTGTATATAGGTTGTAATTCTGCAACACCACCCATTTTGCCTACATTTTATTTTACTGGAGGTAGTGGATCTAGGCTGCAGTAAACATCTGCTTAGAAGGAAGGACTGTACAAAATCCACTTTGCTATTGAAAAAGGTTTTTACTGTATTTTACCAAGTGTTTTTCTGAATTGAAATTTTAATTGTTTTTATAAATCTTTGTTTTGATCTCTAACAATATATTTGGTCAAAATCACACAAAGAATGCTTCTTTTTCACTTCTTATCTTGTAGTTAGATCGCCATTGCTGTCATAGATTAAAAATAACCGAGCAACAAAGAACCCAAAGCTGTAAGTTGTAAAATTGTGATGATTTATTTAAAAGCAGTTCTTTTTCAGGCACCAAGGCACTTCTCAGATTTCTGGTTGTGGTACGAAGCTCTTCAGTATGTCCTTATTACTGTTCTTAAAACACTATATATTTTTAGTGTATTTGTATTTTCAGTTGATTTAAAGATTGCTGCACTATGGCAATATTATGTATAATAGAAAATTTAGTGCCATTTCCTCTGAGTCCGTGGTTTAACAGTGGCCAGTTTTAGCACAAACTTAAATAACAATTAAAATTATTTTCTACACTAAAGATAGGTTTACGACCCAGTTACAAGGAATAATCTGTTGTGGTTGTGAATTATACCTGATTTTCTGTCAGTGAAAGAAAATAGCCTTAAGTCTTGTTCCGTGAAGGATTTTGAGAAAAAGGTTTGTAGAGAGAACTTGGGGCTTGGACCGATCAGTTCTGAGGATTTGTTATAGTAGTGATCGTCGTTACCGTCCGTGTATTTTGTGCACACAGCTGTGGTTACCTTTTGGGCCATCTGTTCTGAGTATCAGCATTAGTTTCCGTTCTACCGCTGCAATTCTGCTTCCTGCAGTTTTGAAAGACTTACTGTTTCATACCATCTTCCTGTAGCGCTGGGATATGCTAATGTTACGCGTATTTCAGTGTCCTGTGTGAATAGATAATTTGGAAAGGAGCAATGCAAGGATTCTTTAAAGGGCTTGGGTGGATAGAAGAAAGGGGGGAAGGAAGAGGAGGGAACTGCTTTGGAAGAGGTGCTTTGGAAGAGGTGGAGGAAGACCTGCATGTTTTCTCTTCCTGTATACCACATGTGCTTAAGCGATGTCATCATTCAGAGCAAAAATAATTGCTTTATGCTTTCTAAAGTGCAGTTTCATGATTGGCTCGTGCCTATCTAAGTACGTTGTGCTGCCGAACAGGTACGCCCCACTTGCTCTGCCCTTGTCCCTGCATTCCCCTCCCTTCCCGTAAACTGATGCTTGTGATTGCACAGGTGTGTCGGGTGTCACTGATGTCTAAAGTTCATTTCATAAGGGCTGGTACCGATAGGATGGAGCCAAGGAGCTTTTGTGGCGAGAGACGAGGAGGAGTGTCTTTTTACCATGGCTTATGTGTATTCTGAAACAGATTTAGCAGCCTGTCTCTGTTTGATCTCAAAAGTGTTCTTAGGTATGTTTAATGAAGGACATAAATGTTTATGCTTCCAAATTTGGGACGTTAAAATAGCAAATTAGTGTTTATAATGTCAGTGCATGTATCCTTTTATTAATTAAAGAACAAAACAGAGGTAACATTGAAGAAACACTTAAACAGCACGTTCCCACTTTTCAAGCAGACTTGTGAATGTACAAATTTTTTTTAACATGTTATTATGACAATCCCTTAGTTTTGGGGGAAATATCTATAATTTCCTCAGTCTTTTATGGCTTTAGTAATAACGTGCTTTCATTGTAACAGATTCTTTAATGAGAAGCTGATATTACACTTCTTAGAAGGTAAGCCTATCTGAGACAGCATTTAATGAAACATGGGAAAAGTGAATTACAATTTGAGTTAGGACTCCAGCCTGGCCCCAAAAATCAGAGATTTTAAGTCTTCAAAACCAGCATCATGTTTCTAAGGCTTCTGCTTGACAGACTGTTCCCATCAGATGTTAATGCTGCATATTGCTGAGGAATGGCAGTTTTCCATTTGGGGAAGTTATCTTGGAAGTCATCATGCATTTCTTCCTGGAGTTTGTATCAGCCCAGGTCCAGCTCACAGTTTTTAGCAGAGTTCAACACGAGTATTTGGGTGGCACAAAAGGGGTCACTCCCCTTTGAGGTGTAATGTTGTGGGGGGCGAATACTGTGTCCTTTGGACTGGGCAACTGGTGTTTAAGAGCATCACCTGAAGCTTTGCTGAGTAAAGGAGTAGGACGTATTAGAGGTAATATACTTGTTTATTGTATCTTGAACTAGATGTTTGGATTTCTGGAAATAAGATTTTGCTGTAAGCCAGTTTTGTGCGCTGTAGTTGTAAGGCAGCGTGCAGAGGTTCTAATAACGGTGTGTAGGAATAACATCTTTGCACTTGTGTTTGGTCGTTACTCTTGTCCTTTACCTCCCCGTGAACCCCATGAAGACTCTACAAGTCTTTCCTGGTGTGTCTGTTTCAAGCAGGCAAACAGGCTACAGTCGTCGTGTGTTCCAGCAGTCCCAAGAAAAATACAAACTTGAATGGGGTGTGCTTTTCTGCATCGAAATACTGATTGATACATTAACAGTGAGTTTCATTTCACTGTGTATACTGCATTTATGGCCAACGCTGTTCCTGCTGGTACGTTAGTTCCGTAATTGTGCCTGCACACTGCTTCACTTAGGTCATAATGCATCTGCCATGAGTCTGCCCTAGGAAACTTTATGTGAAAATAGTGCCTACTAACTTAGCCCGACTTTAGCTCCATTTCGTATCTGTACATCCTTGAAACAGGGCAGAATTTAACATAAAAGTAGTAGTTTTTATTATACCTCGTCATATCCCTCAGTCATCATTCTAAGGTTTGTGCTGTGCTATTACTTCATACTGTAAACGTGGATTTGTATCAGAGAAACACAGATTGAAGAGTAACTGACTTTTTGTCCTGAGACATCAGTGAATACTATTTACTACTTTATTTTTATCAAAGAAGGAAGAAGGTATTACTGTTATAAGAATAATCTGATCCTTTGTTGCCACACATTTGTAATATTCATGACCTGATCCATATTAAAGAGCTGCTGGCACACTTGCAAGGAAGCAAGATTAGAGTGTAACGAAAAGGGCTTTATTTTCTATTAATGATTTTGTAACGGAAATGAGTTATTATATTGAAGGAAAGATTTTAATAGCTCAGTCAAGGTGTCTGGCTACTCATTTAAATAAAGAAAGCTGGTAACTGTTAGGAAAAAAAAGTTAGGTTTGGATTTAGTGATGATTTTTAGAGATGGAAGATTATATTTGTTAATACAGCCAGACTAAAATACTTCTTTAGTCATGTGAAATTTGAAGTGTAAGTGGCAGGATTTTAAAGGTGTGTTTGGTCAGCTATTGAGCATGACCGTCCAGAGAAGGTCCAGGCTCCCTGCAGAGGTCGCTTCTTTGCACCATACCTTTTGAGCTGTGTCTAAAGGATTACTACAATGCTGCTTTGTTAAGCATAGATTATTGTCCTCTTCGAAGGTTTAACTAGCAATAAATTTCACTTTTTTTTTTTTTTAATTCAGTGAAATTGTAAAGAAAATACATCTTGATGCAAAACCTCAAAGGCGCGAGAATGTTCTGAATGGGGAACATCCCGTGTTAACTGTAGTCTCTCTCTGCATCAGCTCTATTTTTAAGTCTTGAGAAACCCAAACTTGGCTGATTTAGGAAAGGGAAAGTGAGGTTGTGTCACATGGCACTGCACGCAGGATTATTTCAATATTCCATGTTTTGGTGAGAATGGCCACTCTTCAGAAGGGTACGAAGGTGTAACTTGTGCTTCTGCAGAATGAGGTGGTAGTTTTCTCAGTAGTCTTGGAAATACTTGTCAGTCTGTGCATGCCTTTAGTCTCAGATTGATGAAGTCATAACATCAATAGCTTAGACTTTATTGGTGTCATTTTTTTCATCGTAACAGTGTGGAACTGTGAAGTGATTCATACAACACTGAGGCAATAAAAATATTATGAAGTGCAATCATTGCATGTTTCATGCTCAGTAGCTAATTTTTAATTTCACCATCTTGGACACTTTTTCATCCCCTCAGGCTTCCTAAATAGGAAAGGAGAATCATTTGGACTTGGAAAACAGGAACAGTGATTCAAAAAGGAATTAATTTACTTGGCTGTTCATTTGCTTTACTTTCACAATTATTTCTGCTGTTAATGTTTGAGCGGTAACTTCGTTCTGTGCATCAGATACCCGCTTGTTCAGTCCTACAGTGAGACCACAGTCCTGTGGTTGTGACAGTTGTTTACCGTAAAGAGGACAATACTTTGCCTGTGCCATCAGACAAAGTTGCATTGTGTCTGGGTCAGAACGGAGGTGCAAGTGAGTCTGACAGGAGAAGCTGAGCCTAAAGGATTTTTTTTCTTTGCTGCCTTCTGCTTACAAAACTTTTTCTTGCTAAGGTAATTATTTCCTCCACATTTAGCAGAATAGCAACTTTATGTTCCTTGTTTATTGATAGTAAAACCTTAATGGAATGAAGCTCTTTATTAGTATGTATTTTTAATGAATCAGGCTACCTACTTTCATATTAAATTTTAGTCTTTAGTGATTTGAAATTAAAGAGTCAAAGAAAATTTACTGAACACCCAAGAGAGGGGTAGGCCGGGGGTGATTTGGCTTTTATTGTAGTATAACAATTGCCAGAAGTCCTGTGAAATACAAGAT